CACAAATTGCAATATGAGCTCTGGTAAAAAAAACATGCAATGATAACAGCAAAAATTGCAATATGAGCACTGGTAAAAAATGATAATGGAAGACATTAGATTTATAATACCCAGAAATTCGCATACAGGACACATGGCACAGTGGATAAAAGCGTTAGTTAGATCCAGTGACAGGACCCAAACAGTGTGAGTTCAATACCCAGTTAAGGCAGTGGAGAACTTGGAGTGGGAAATTAACAGGAGATAACTTATAACTGACATCCGTTATACTGTGGAACTAGAACAGTCTACTCCAGTGAGTGAAATAAAGGGTTCAGTTTGACATTACAACCACCTGAAGAAGATATTATATGTAATAAATACAATTGGTGACAAAGATGGGGACAATAGTACGAATAATGTAAATAATGTTGGATGGTGAGATTATGAATTTTCTGTTTTTGATATTAGAAGTGCTGTTGGTGGTGGTGGTGTTTTTTTTTTTTTTTTCCGTTTAATTTGACTCCAGTCCATTTAAAAAAGGCTTTACCATTCTCTCTCTCTCACGCACACACACACACACACACACACACACACATATATATATACGCACACATAATGTACTTGCTTAGATGTTTTTTTGTTTGCTATTTAAAACATTCTTAGGTTTCTCTGCCTTATTTAGGTATTGCTCACTGTAATGTATTTATTTTTTATAAATTTTACATTTTTAAGTTGTAAAATATTTCCTTTTATATGCAAGCATGCATATATAATAGTATTTACATTCTATGTATACAAATTTTCAAACTTCTAAATAAAAGCAAGAAGTAGAAATAAATAATTTGTTAAACAATTGATAACCCCAAATATAATTGTAGGAAGCAATTCATGAAAAGAAATAAATATTAAAAAATTTTATAAACACATTTTTTTTACGAAAAACAGGAAGACAAAGAAAGTGTTGTCAGCAATCTTTGCTCCTTTTCCTTTTACTTCAGGATTTTTTCTTTATTATCAATGGCCATTCTCTACTTGAGTATACCGAGTGTAACAGCAAAATTGTCCAAATCATGTAAAGCATGGGATAATTGTCCATCCCACAAAATGCTTAATATCTAAAAAAAAATAGTAAACTAATTGAGTTTATTTTTTCTAGGTTTTCGGATAAGACATTTAGCCATCTTTACACCATTTGTTGTTAGAATCCCTGAAAAACCCTTTGAATTATTCAGCTACAAAAAGAACAGGCTGAAATCATTTTGTGTCAGCCCCACTGTCTTTTCAACTGAGCAATGGGAAAAGATCATTCAGGCCTTCAGTAATGATACCAACATTCATACTCTTGCTTGCATCTTCAAAGTCCATTCAAAAACCATCAAGAGAATGGTGAATAAGTTTAAACAAGAGGGAACAGTAGAGAGGACAACAGGATCAGCATTTTAACTTAGAGTTAAAGAGATCGATTAGAAAAGATCTGACTCAATCCATAAGACGTTTGGCACATGAGAGAGATGTTTCAGCTATGACAGTCCAAAGAGCAGTGGAAAAAGACTTGAAAATGAAATCATATGTGAAACCTGTGAGACACTGTTATTCCAGAACAGAAAGTTAGAAGGTTAGAGGGTGAAGAGCATCATGAATAAATTGGAAAATGATTCTGAAATAATATAGATATATTTGAAATTCATATCAATCCTTCATGAATTTCTAATCCTTAGCTATGATTAATTAATGACGAACATCATTTTCGTTTATGATCGATTTCATCACAATTCTTCTTTTAAGCTTGTAGAGTAATTATACATTCTTATTGCTTAAAGTAGAGTTCAGTAGTGTTGTAAAAACCTTGGTGAATTCCAGTAAGATATCTTTAATCATTTTTAAGATACAATAGTTCAAAGCTTAACAACTGGACAATTTTGCTGTTACACCCAGTGTAGTTCTCAAAGGTATTTCAGATTTTTGTTGTAGAGCAAAAGCCATTACAAATGAGTGTATTTCACACTGGGTACCCTGCTGTTGTAACTCCTCTTCTATGTGCTATGTCCCTACAGGATGTGGATGATCATGGCTCTCCACAACTTCCTGTACCATGTAATTCTTAATAATGTTTGTTTACCATCCCTTTCACTCCTCATTCTGCCATCCATTTACATATGCTCATCATATAGGTGGGAACTTCCTCGTTCTGTCCCTTTTACCATCAATATGTCCTGGTAATGTCATATTCTCCTCATTATGTATCCCAGAAATTTCAGCTGTCTTTAATTCTGAATAGAAATCTCCTTTTTATTACCATTTCCCTTAAAACTTCTTTGTTCCAACCTTCTGTCGAACCACATTCTGTTCTTCACCTGTGAGGAAATTGTCCAGTATCCACTGCCATGTAGGATAACTAATATCACATGAGAGATCAGAACTCTTTTCTTTATTTTGTTCCTTATCCTACCACTCTTTCCTCCCTTATCCTACCACTCTTTCCTCCCTTATCCTACCACTCTTTCCTCCCTTATCTTCTTTCCTCCCTTATTATCTTATTACCACTCTTTCCTCCCCTTATCTTACCCTCTTTCCTCCCCTTATCCTTATCCTACCAATCTTTCCTCCCTTATCCTCTTTCCTCCCTATTACCCTCCTCCCATCTTATCCTACCACTCTTTCCTTACTCTTTCCTCCCTTATCCTACCACTCTTTCCTCCCTTATCTTACCACTCTTTCCTCCCTTATCTTACCACTCTTTCCTCCCTTATCCTACCACTCTCTTCTCTATTTCCTTCCTTATCCTATCACTCTTTTCTTTGTTTCTAATGAAATTTTCCTGTTTCTTAGTGATTTGCTTATTTTTTGGAAGATATCTTTTACTATTCCAACATACATTTTGAGTCACATTTTCCATTTCTCTTTAAATGCTTCCCAGATATTTAAACTGGCTTACTTGATTTACTTAAAGCTAATGACTGTCATTGGTAAAAGTTTGTCCATGTTAATGTTTTATCTTTGGGATATTAAGCTATTTCATTTGATCTTTTTAAAAATACCAACTCTTCATTTTCTATTTGTTGGAGATAATTTTCTACAGTAAGAGGAAAATAATTGTTTTTTTTTTTTCTTTTTTTTTTCTGTTAACCTTCAATTTTTGTGTGCCAATCTTCCAACTGGTAATAAAAATTCCATTTCCTTTCTATTTTTAGACTATCTTATTTCACACTATCTGTATTCTGTCATACATTTAACAGTACCAGGCAAAGATAAGATTACTATAGACCTTTTGTTCCTTCAGCACATAATACTGAAGTTAATATTTTTATGAAAGAAATATTTTATTAGTTTCTTAGATAAAAATAAATACATTTTTTCACTAGACTTTAATTATTCTAATTTCTTTTTTTTTTAATTTATAGCAGAACATAAGTTTTGAGTTTAATAGTTGTTTTGGTTATCCACAAATTTTGGTGTTTGACTACAAAGGTAAAAGAATTTGTCAAAAATGTAACAATTTCACAAATATTAACATACTATAAAGGGGTATAGGTAAGTTCTTTGGCAAAATCAGTTCTGTGTTCAAATGGCTGATTTTTCAGCACCCACCCAATACCCAATTTTGTCTATTTGATTATTACAGTTCTGTTTTGGGGACTGTTGAAACTTTATTCATTTCATTTTATATATATATATATATATATATATAATTTTGTTATACCATACTAACTACACCCAGTTCTTGACAATGACTGAGATAGTCAAAAGTATTTGAACAAAAAAAAATGTACTTGGGACAGTTTATTCATAATTCCAATTGCATATTAAACATCTCATTTGGAAATTAGAAAAATATAATATAAAATTAAGTAGTCAAACTTTGTTGATTGAATTCTTGCTGCTTCAGTAGACCTTTTATTTATTTATATATATATATATATATATATATATGTGTGTTTGTAATATTTGTTCCTTTTGGTTTTTTGATCTCATAAACCCTAGAAATGTGTAATCAAATCTAGTTTCAATGAAACGATTTTCCATTTGTTATATTTCTTCAAAACTTTGTTGGGTTTCTATCTCCTATTTTATATATATATATATATATATATATATACACACACACATAATGTTAGTTGTCTGTAATGCAATACCCTTTAAATAAGTAAATTTCCTCCTTTATAAAGGTTGAATTTTCTTGCTATTATGTCTTGTTTGAATTTGTCTCTCACCTGATTATAGTTGGTAGTAACAGAATAACAGTAGCTCTAAAGTAATAGCTGTTCACTATCTAAAGGATAGATGAAGACATGTTGTTGAGTAGACGACAGAATAGATTATTCTTTGCCCATCTGCCTGTCTAGCAGTGAAATGTTATTTAGTGTATAATTATCATGATAATTGGTAGTACACATGAAAAGACACTTTCACACAAAAATGTAAACTTTTTTTGCTTGTTTTGTTCAGTTTTTCTTCAGTAAACCTCGACATTGATGAAAGTTTTTTTAACTCTATATAAAATTAACCAATATAATTGCATTGTGATAAAAGTTGGTCACATAATGAAAACTGACTTAAGAAATAGTAAGCACACTTGTGTATTTTGGTTATTAATGCTGTTTTTAAGATTTCACCCTGGATTTTGATATATTGTTAAAACTGATAATGTTTGTTTCTACATACGAATCTTCTTAAAATATCAATAGGTCAATTCTTAAATTAGTATAAAAACTTATTTTATCTGTTTTAATTTTTTTTTTTTCTCTCTAAAAGTATTACCTTCTTTTAAGAATATTTTTGGAGTTGAAATTTTCTTTCAAGGCTGACATAGATGTCTATATAACATTAAAGATCATTTCTATTGTGCTAACACTATTGATGATAGAATATTTAACATCACAACCTTCCTTCAAACGTATCAGTATGATTGGGAGATGTGTATATATACATCAGGAAGCTGTGGTGAAAATGTATATGTTGCTGATTCAATAAAAGTAAGCAGTACTTTATTTATAGAAATGTAGGCTTATGGCCACATATTGGAACATCAGTTCCCATATGATCACCAAAGTTAAGCAAAGTTGAACCTGATCAGTACCTTGATGGCTAACCACTTGGGAATACCAAGTGCTGTAAGCTTGGATGTGTGGGTGGTGTTATGGATAATGGTCTAAATTGTTAATTGGAGAACCAGGTTTGAACTCCCATTGGGTTCAGTTTATTCACTCATGTGCAAATATCCTTGGGAAAGGCATGAAACCACCTCTTCTCCACCCAGCTATAGCTTAATTAGTAAGACTTGTATAAGTAAGCATTTATTATCTCCCCATAAAATTCATACAATCTAAAAATATTTTCTGGCTTTAATTAACCTGCAAAGAGTTGATAAATGGTAAAAATGAATCCATAAATTAATTTATAAAAATGTTATATTTAATATGCTTTATTTATAATGTATATCATTATATAATAAATATATTCTTTTAGAAATATTTCCATGAGTATATGTTCTTATTATACTATAAACCAAATTCTTTTTGTCAGTTTAATAAAAGAAAAAATTGTATGATATGGTTTGTTCTATAGAAGGACTTCATTGGACTAAAGTGTTGATCATGTTGATGGAATTATATATATTTGAGGAGTGGGGGAAGACATAAAAAAAAACAAATGTTGCTTATAATTATGCATCAAGAAGAAACACTGAAATTTTACATTTTAAAATCTAAATCTTTTTTTTTTTATTATTATTATTTTAGATGATTCTAAGAGGTATGTAGTCCAGTCAATTTCACTCAGTTTCCCCTATTCTTTTATCACTTATCATTAAGTATCCCTCATTGTGATAATTGATCTGCCAAGAAAGATGAAATATAAGAACCTGGATACAAATTTACTGTTAATCATCTGGTAATCAAGGCACTTTCTATATACTTTCACCTTAGTAAATTGTCTTCTCTTTTAATTAAAGCAGCATTTTTTAAATCGAAATTATGGCGAGTGACTAATGCATTGAGTGTGTTGTGTTGTAAAAGTTCTTTTCATGTTCATATAATCTTTTATTTAAATTCCTTGAGGTTTCTCCTATGTAGTCCTTGTGGCAATTATTACTAGTGACAGAGTAAATTCCTTTTTTAAGTTTTAAAATTTCACTGTTCCAATATCTTCAGTATTTCTTATTGGTGCTAAATTATAACTGATACCTTGCATTTTCATATCTCCCCTCCCCTTTCTACACACATGTAATTCCTTCAACAAAAACCCTATTTTAGCCTGATGAGGTCATTCTAGAGGACAAAATGTGTTACACAGATTTTTTTCCACTTTGTCATTCATTTGCTCAATATTGTTCTGATATATAGAAATTTATATATCATTTTCTCCTATAAAATATTTAATTTTACTTCTATTAGGTTTATTGAAAAGTATCCAGTAATTTAAAAATACTTTATATACTTAAATTGATAACCTCATTATACAGTGATCAAAGTATTTTCCCTGACTTTCTCTGACCTTATGCTACCCTTTGAGATAAATTGTCTATTCTGTCATAAATGAACAATTCAAGCTTTAATTCACTCAATTCTATGAGTGTGTGAACTTGTTGGAATGGTTAACCAGACAAGGCCTGTTGCATGAAGCAAAGCAAATCCGAAAATGACAGGTCTTGAAAATAGGCGGCATATGGAAGAACATTTCAGCTTTATGATGGTTTGCTATGTCATATTTGTGACATCAGGACAGACATATTGTCATGCAGTGAAATTACTGATCAACTTCCTTGCATAGAAAAGAGTTTCTTTTCTTTTCTTTTTTTTTTTAATGTGTTATTCAAATGAGCCAGCTTTCATGTTGTACAGTAACAGTTTGTTTAGGTTTCACTAACTTATAATAAAGAATTCCCTTTGAAGGCTACCAAACACAGAGAATGCCTTCCCTTAACCCTTAATAAATTATGTTTGCATTGATGTTGAGGGGCTAACCTGAATCTAGCCATGATTTTGCTTCATTCGTGTAATAAACCCAGTTTGCATTACCAGTAACTCTCTTGTCTAAAAATGATTTTGTGTATTTGAAAGGAAAAAGTCGTATCTAAAAACTTTTCACTTTTCTTAGATCCTGTCAAACCCATTTTCCTAGCTTCTGAATTTATTCAGAGTTCTAAATTATATATCTGGCTAGTTCAAGTTTAATTTTTCTCTAAGTTCAAGTATTTGTGGTGCATTTCTTTTTTTTTATTTATTTCTCCTTTGTTTTTTCTCCCTTTCATCAGATTTCAATTTCTAAAATTTAAAAAAAATATTTTTTTTTCTTTGATCTCAAAGTATTTTTATTTTACTTCACAAACCATTCCCAACACATGCTTGCACCTACTGCATTATTATCATAAACTTCTGTGTTCCATTGATTTGAATCTGTTGCACTTTTTATCAAGATGAATCATGAAGAAGAAATGGTGTTGCATATATGCTTTTTATATATTTTGCAATTTTTTTCACCAAAATAAGTAAAATGATCCCTTATGTCTAGGCAATACAAAAGTTTTACTGAACTGGGAACTTTTAACAAAACTTTACATTTTAGTTTTATAAGTTTTGTTTTTCTAAATGATAATCATAAAATCTTTATGAATGTAAGAAAAATGTTTATTCTTTATTACAGCTGACTATATTGGATGTTTTGAATCCAGTGGAAAGTCCCTTGGAGTTTATTCAGCATTAAACTCATCAAAAATGAGCATAGAAAAATGTATTCAGAATTGTAAACATTTCTATCTCTCATATGCTGGAATTCAAAATGGGTAAAAAAAAAAAATTATTTCTTTATGATGATGCAAAATAAAGGCTGAAATATTTTGTTAATGTGATCAAAGTGCATAAAAAAATTATAATAAACTTTATGAATAGAAAAAAATATTGTAATATTATATAAAGTGTATTTATACGGGTTTGGAATTTAAATTTTCTAAAACTTGAAGAAAATCAGTTTTAATGATAAAGTACATTCTGATTAGATCTTTTAAATCATTTTTTCTCCTTTTTTCTTATGTTTTTTTCACAGTCTCTGAATTGCTTAATGTCTTGAAGCATTTTTTGATTAAAATGTTAAAACATACAGCAATAGTATATACAGGGGGGGGGGCACTGAAAAGTACTTGCCCAACTAAGAAGGGACAAAACTCAAAAAAACATTGTTTGGTCATTTGGACAGATTGTAGTAATTGGGTTAGTATGTAAACTTTTCAGCACTCCCTTTTAAAACTTGATAATTATAATTTATTTCTTCTGGACATAACTCAGTAGAATTCTGAATACATCCAGACTTAATGAAGTTGACTAGTTTACATTTCCTGCTGAATTTATCATAGAATTGACTTACAGCCATATGAAGTTAAGAAACATTGAGCCTGATTAGTAGTTAGATGGGTAACCACTTTGGAATACCAGGTACTGTAAGCTTGGTTATGTGGGTGGTATAATGGATAATGGCTCCAAATTGGAAATTGGAGAGCAGAGTTTGAATTCATTATGTGCACTTACATGTAAATACTTTTGGGAAATCCACCTCTTCTTCCCCCATCTATGAGTTAATTAGTAGGACTTGTAGCAGTAAATCATTATCCCCCAAAAATCTTTACAATTTAAAAATATTTTCTGGATTTAAATAACCTGCAAATGGTTGATAAACTGTAAAAAAAGAATTCATCAATCAATTATCATAGAATTGTTTTCTATCTCTTTCCCTCACTTTTTTATGTGTTTAAATTTTTTTTTTTTATTATTCATGGAAAATTTTTTTTCTTATATTGTTAATTGGTGCTCTTTCTTATTTTTAGTAGCCAGTGTTTGTGTGGTATTATGGAGACGGACCTTATACAAATTAAAGAAGCAAGGTGTTCAATCAAATGCCCTACAGACTTCCGACTATATTGTGGTGGAGAAAGAAGTGTACAACTATACTATACAAGTAAGTCTACCTGGTTTATAATAATAATATACTTGGAATAGTTGATTAATCCATTGGAAATTTTAGAAAATTTTGCAAATTCAGGAAAGAATTTTCCAGCATAACGGAAGATCTTGTCTAGATTCTATTCATAGGTCTCCATCTTTTTTAGATGGAATTCATATGGAAAATTCATAAAATCTACTCTATACAGAATATATAATGAAAAAATACATTTAATATTATTTAAAAGGTTTATTAATGACCTCCTTTGTATGTGTCATGGGTTTAATAACTTAATCAATTTGTATTTGTGTAAAGTTAAGGGATTCTGATCATGTTTCACAATTTTCCTATTTATTTGCTGAATCAATAATATATGTGGATGATGACTAAAATGAATCGGTGTTGTGTAATCTGTTAAAATACAAAAATAGATAAAAAGAAATTCTATATAAAGAATGTGTACAATGTCCTGTCATTTTTGTAATTTTATTTTGTGACAATCTTCCTATTGATCAGTTTTTTAATGTCAACTCAAAGCTGGAATCATGATGACAATTGCAACATAGTTACCTTTTATGAATTATTTCCTCATTTCTCTTTATTTCATTGTCTCTGTGTGTGAGCAATGCAAAGGGAGTATCAGTCTTAGTTTCTAACAATAGGTGAATTTCTATAAGTAAGCATTTACTGTGATGGTTTATATTATATGGTAATGGTCAGATCAGCTGATTCCTTATAAGGAAATATTTGGCATTCATTGATCAAACTATTATTGTCAGTTGAAATTTACAAAGCAATTTTTCAGGTAAATAAGTTTCTCAAGTCTGCTGCTATCACTCTTTCTAGTACTGATGGGAGTTTCTTTTCTAACATTTTGTTTAAGGTAGTGTGGAAGACTGACATCTTGATTTCATTATCTTCCCTTCTGGTTACCTGTGCTATCTATTTTACTTGTCACTCGATGTAGAAAGTCTTCAAGTGATGTTATTTCTATTATTTGGTAAAGTTCTGTTTGTAATTCTGTGGCACCAGTCTACTGTCCTCTTCATGACCCACAGGATTCGTTTACTTGAATGTATTTTTAATCATTGATCTGAGAAAAAACAGTCCTATGCAGCTGACAGTTGAGACATTTCTAAACAAGTTTGGTGCTATGTGTGACATTCATATGAGATTTTAGATCTG